AACCTTGTACAACCAGTTTGAAGCTTTTAATGCACCTAAAATCGATTTACACTCTCTTTCTCAATTGTTATAAACTAAAAACAACATCTCTTTCACTTGTTCAAAAAAAAAAACAACATCTCTTTCACTTTGTCTTCATATTCATACAAAAAACGCAAGCTTTTGATTCAAAAAAAATTTTATGGTTGATAAAGCCATTTAAGCATACAATTCTTGGTGGGTTACTTTCGTTTGATGTTTTGATGTTATGGGTGGTTTGAGAAGACTCTGTGTGCTAAGAAAATCATCTCGCCTAGTTTAAGGTATGAAATTGAATGTTTTTTTCCAGATCTGTTCGCGCGAGTTAGTCTTCTGGATGTAGAAGACATACGGATAAGTCTTCTAGTCAAACGGACGACTTACTCTAAGTCGTCCAGCTTTGTATATTAAAAAAAAAACTCTAGACGACTTATACGTAGGTTGCCAAGGAAAAACATGCTAGTTTTGCATTTGACCAAATTATGTCATATATTTAATTTTTCATGGACGACTTACCAGTAAGTCGTCTCTGGGAAAGTTAAAATTTCAATATTCGACTCCAAACTTCGACTCCTTCAGCTCTTCATATTCGTCATCAGCAAGCATTCCTAAAGTAGTTTGCAACTTGGTATTATCCGTATGATACAAAATGCTATTATGGGTTTCTGGCTCTTTCCCTGATGTATATAACCTACTGGGGAGTTCTGAAATATCCATTTTTCTGCAAAATAATCAAAGAAAACAACATAAATGTCACAAAACTGAACGACTTTGTAGACGACTTATAATTAAATCGTCTGGAAAGTCATCTATTAAGTCGTCCAGCTAGAAGACTTATTATTAAGTGATCTGCTAAGTCGTCCAGATGGAAGACTTTCCAGACGACTTAATAATAAGTCTTTCAGTAGAACATTTTAAAGCGGACCTGATAATTCGGAGAGAATGAGTACATTGATAGAGACAACATTTTATGTTCATCTTTTCCTCAGTCAATCACTCGACAGTAAGAGATATAACTTACCGACGATAGGGTTTAGAGAGAAACGACGCTAGGATTTCCTCTCAGATCTGAAATAGAGGAAGTGGTGGTGAGAAACGGTGGTGAGAACTGTGAGAACGATGGTGGGATAGATAACCGGTGATGAGAACGATGGTTTGTTCGGAAATCGTTGGAAATCACCTTGAAGCGGCTTTAGGGTTTTCTGAATTTCGCGAAAATGTGAGTAAAAAAAATCATCTTATATATGTCCGGTAAAAAATCCGGTTAGGTTTAAAAGTAAATTGGTAAAATAAAAAGTTCGGTCCGGTTTGTAGTATATCAGACGACTTAATAGTAAGTCGTCCAAACCCTAAACCCTAAACTAAATTGACTAAATTAACTAACTAGCCACGTTATAAAATCAAATTATACTTAAGTAGTGTTTACTATACACAGAAATAAACACACTTAGGTAGATTTTAAATTTTTAAAAAATGTTTTTAATGCTTTCCAAAATCTAACCCTAAGAACACATATAATACTAGAACAACTAAAGAATATCATGACTCACTACTTCATTCATCTATGTTGAATTTTTTTTTTTACTTTTGTTATATCTTAATTTATATCTCTTAAAACATATGTTAATTACATAATTTATATTTTTCACTTATCAAAATATTTTTTACAAAAAATTTAAATTATTTTTATGATAAACTATCCTAGACGACTTGCGCGGGCTAGAAATGTTAACAGAAATTCCGTTTTTTTTGTTTGTTCACAAGGACTGGTTGTAATTTCAATAGTCTTTTAAGTTATTTTTGCATTTGATTCAAGTTTGAGTTCACTTTTCCATTTGAAATCAAGTTTTGAGTTATATTTGACAATTTTTCCATGGTTATTACTAAATTCTCTTACAAGAGAGAGTGATTTATTTTTAAGGAATACTTTATAATAGTCAAAAAGGATTTTCTCTCAAAATAGTTTAAACGAGAAAATAATCGAAACACCCTCTCATAAAAATTTTAAAGACATATATAGTTTTGGGTTAAGTAGTCTAAAATTAGGGTTTAGTTTTTTTTTCTAGGGGTGGGGCGATGGAGTTTATGATTTGAGGAAGAGTTTTTACGATATATAATTTGGTATTTTAGGATACAAAAAATCAAATAATATTTTCAATAACTATTTACAATATTTATTTAAATTAAATTGATTATTCAGTAAGTGTACTTTAGATTTTTATTTTTAATAAAACATATTTTGCTTCTTTTTTATTATAATTTTGTGTTATTTTGGTTATATTTGTTTTGTGATATTTTAGGAGGCTTTTCCTTTATCTTTTTGAAATATATTTTAAGTTGAAATGTCATTCATAGCTATTATTTCTTCTTAAATAGTCATGTACTCTTATCATATTTTTAAACTCATCTGAACTTCTAAATCAGTGGATAAGAATTTTGGTGAACAACTCATTAGAAATCTTAAGATCATCTAGGTGAGAGTGATGCAATGGTGGTATAGTATCCTATTGTTTAAGATTATTGGACAAGAACATGAAAATGTAATTCCTATAGGTACCAACATTCAACAATCAAGTCATCTCATAGGTAACTAATGTGTATGAATATATTGTGTTAAGAGTTATTCTTGGGTTCACCACTTATGATAAATCTCTAAGTTTACTAATCAATAAGGTTATGTTATTATATATTTAGTATCTTTTTAAAAAAGAATCAAAATATTATCAAAGTATATTATGTTGTTTTAAATAATCTAATAATAATAATAATAGTTGAAAAAAAAAAAATTTAACGCCGTCATCAAAACACTAAACCCTAAATCGTAAACCTAAATCATTGGGTAAACCCTAAACCCATAGGTAAATCATAAATATTCGGAGTAATCTTAAACCCTATATCAAAAACACTAAACACTAAATTTTAAAACACTAAACCATTAATCCTAACGCCTAAAATATCGGATAAAAATAAATAAATTTAAAACATTTTTAAAGTCTTCAGCAAAACACTAAACCTTAAATACTAAACACTAAATCATAAACACTAAATTATAAACCCTTGAATAAATCATAAATCCCAGGGTTTACCATTTATCCAAGAGTCTAGAGGTTAAGATTAAAGGTTTAATATTTTTAAGATTTAGTGTTTAGTGTTTTTAATCTAGGTTTTGGATTTATCTGAGGGCTTAGGGTTTATCCAAGGGTTTAGGATTTATGATTTATGATTTAGTGTTTTGCTGACGGTATTAAAGAAAAATAATATTTTTTGTTTTTTCCAATTATTACTATTTTTTATTTATTTTTACCTTTTTTATTTAAAAAACATAATATAATTTGACTTATATTTTTTAATAAAAGATATTAACTATATAATAATGTAATTCTATTGGTTGCTCAACCTAGATGTTCACCCTAGGGGTTAAACCCAAGAATAATTCGTTCGTTAAAAAGTTCAAATTCATTATTTTAGTTTTGTTTACAGACTTTGATATTGTTTTTGTTCAATAAAATTTAGAAATAAACAATTTCTCTAAATATTTAATTTTATAGCTTTGCTTACAATCATTTAACAGGTTTCAATTGGATATTTTTTTCTATCTTTAATTATTCATTAATTTATATATTTATTATGGATTTTTAGTTCAAATTTATATGATATTTTATTAAAATATATCATTGCTTTTATCAAAATATAATGTCATCCAAAAATACAATTACAACATATACAAAATATATAACAAAATTTAGCATGTTGATATATAAATTAGACAAATTCTACAATTAAACACTATTAATTTCTTTTTACATTTTTAGGAAAAAATTATGCCCGCACAATGTGCGGATGAGCCACCTAGTGCAAATTTAAATGATGTAAGTTAAGATATAATAAAACTGAATAGTCTTTATATTACCCAATGAAAATATTAATGTATAAGATTGAGACTATAGTCTTCTTGGTTTCAGATTTAAATTAATCGTTAATGTTAAAGACGATTCTGGGGAGGCAAACTTTCTTTTGTTTGATACCAACGCCCAGATGATTGTGCTGAACTCTACGATGAGGTACTTTTCGAAATTAACAGCTGCCAATAATTGACTTAATAACATTCTTTTGTTTAATCTATTTTTAATCTGTGGTAGAATGAAGATCTTGATTTCTTACTAGAAGCAGTTAGCGACCTCTTTGACAAGATAATGCTTTTTGAAGTTTCAGTTGATTCTGATAACATCAGAGGAAACAGCTCTTAGTATCTTGTTCGTTGGGCTCATGATGAATATTTTATGCCTGCACAGGCTGCTTTCGGAAGAAGAGTTATGCAACTTGTTCTTTATATCAACCATACTCGCAGACTTTATCTTAGCATGAAAACTCTCACTTGTCTCACTTCCACATTGAAGATGCAAGGAATGTTAGTATCAACTTTCTTGCATTTGCAATACATGGAGATCAATGAGTTCAATACTGAAACATTTCTATCAAACCCAACTCAACCGATATTACACTATATTTTTATGTCCGCACATCTATCAAATCCCAACTCAACCGATATCATAATCATCTATATTATTATGCACGCACAGGGTGCAGACCCGTCACCTAATTTGCATTAAATCGATTGTCATAGCTTGATACTGAACTCAAATACTATATCTACACCGTTAGTTTTTATAGTAACACTCAATTTTAATGTATCATATATCTAATCAAGTAAATTTAAAAAAAAAAAATTGTTTTTTGCTAATATATAGAATTTTTTCATTAAACGATAACCAACTTTAAACAATCTAGCTTTTAATTTGAAAGCTAAAAAAATACCAAACTTTTCAAATTAACCAGCAAGCCAAAAAAAAGCATAACAATAAACCTCTGTTGGATACAAAAGCTAAAAACACAAATACTTAACTGAATACAAATGTGAACAGACAAATTCTTAGTTGAATACAAAACTTGAAACGCATGTTTGACTGGGGGAATTATGTCTCTCACTGGTAAGGAGAAACCAAGGACTGTGAAAAGCAAGCAGAATACAACGTTAACGGAGGAGTGTCAGAATCAGGAAGAAGTCGAGTTCTCTCCCACCTCTCAGTAACCTCATCCTGCACAAGAACCCACAGGTCGGAATCAAAACATTGTGTTAAAGCAGAGACACAGAGACGGTCCTTGAGTTTCCACATGTAAATGAGACCCAAGGCCACAGCAATGTCGTTGGGTAGCGACACGGTACGAAACTTTTCAGAGTGCAGATCCATGACTAGTATCTCCGTATGGTGACGTGACAACAACCAGAAAAGTGAACCGCTTACGAAGACTGGGTTTGTTTCAAGGCTAATTAGAGTGAAAGAAAGAGACACTACTGGACCGGCGGATTTGTATCTCCCTCTCCACTTGCTGGTGCTCAGATCGAAAACTTTTGAGTTCACTCTATTATCATAACCGGACCCAAACAAAACCACCACTTTGTAGCTTCCTGTCACGACATCTCTCCCGAATCCCACTGAAAGTTGGGTACAGGTAAGTGCAGCTTTGGTACCTCGAGGAGAAGGAAGTGTCCGGAACACACCTGTCATAGGGTTGAATAGATATACGTAGACCAAATCGTAGACGCACACTAAACCGCTACAAGATCCAGGAAGGCGAAGAAGATCTTTTGATTCTCTACTGTGATTTGCTGAATACCTGACATGAAAGGTTCCAGATTCTGACCGCTCAACTATGATTTTCTTGGCTCCGTACTTTTTCTGATGGAGAAGGGTATGTTTCTCTGCTAGATACCTCGATTCAATCAATGATTTCCATTTTTTAGACACTAGTTTCAGTCTAAGTAAATAATATACTGGAAGGTGGTGAAGAATCTCTTCTACTAGATCATCAGGTATCTCAACAGCAAGCGTGGTGGTTACGCTACAGCTAGGGTTTTCTCTGCTCCTTTCTTGTTTCTTACATATCTCTTCTCCAAGATCACCTGAAGTTGACTGAACAATAATAGCACGCGAGGCTTTGCTACATCTAGGGCTTTTTCTGTTTATGTTTTCTTGTGTCCCGCGAAAACTACAAGCCCTGCCTGATATAGCTAAACAACTGATTAAAACCTGTTTCTTGGTATTTTGGGACTTCGACTGCCACTTCTTTCTCTTCAAGTCCCCCAGTTTCGCCATTGCAAAAAACATGTTGGGTAGAGAAGAAATAACAATTTTTTGGTAAGGTTTTATAGAGAAGAAGAAGCACAAACTTAAGCTTTGATAGACTTCACAAAATCAACTCGAAAAAAAAACTATAAGAGACATAGTGAGAGGTGACGGAAGAACAATCGATTTTCCCACTCTCTTTTTTTTGTAAAATCAAAATTAGGAAGCTAACTCGTTTAATGGATATTAATTTGATTTGATATATGAATAGTGGAGATCTTCATCAATATTCGCGCAATTATCTTAAGGATAGTGTATATTCTGTTGGAGAAGTGAATTAACTGTCGGATTTATGGATTAATTGATTGTTATTTTGGTTTGGTCCAAAAAATGTACTCAAAAGAGAAGGAGTCTAAATAAATCTACTTAAAAAAATTATTTAGACACTTTCATTAGACTAACATTTTTTGGAATTTCCTTATATTTCTCTAACTATATAAATATTTTACAATTTAAATAAACTCAATTATTGCTTTCTATAATCTATTCTAAAATTACTCTAACAATAAATATTCATGATATTATAACTATGACACTTTAGTTTAATTACTACGTAATAACCGGCGTCTTGCGCGGAATATGATTATTATTTTTGTTACTTTTAAGATAAAAATGATATTATGTTTGTTTAGCATGTATATTAGTATAGTTTTACGTTGTTTTTTTAATCTCCTAAAATATAACTATCATTCTAAATGTATATTTATTTTGTTTTGTTTGGTTTAAATGTTTGATATTTTTGATTTTTTCGATGATAGCCAAAAACTTATATTATTTGTTTGATTTCGTTTTATATAAATTTTAGACATTCTTTATGTCGAACTAATAGTTTCCTATTATAATTTCTAAAGACATGTAAAATCAAATAAAATCACAATAATATTTGAAGAAAAAAATAAAACTATTAACACAAAACATTTCACTACAATGAGCGATAGTGACAAAAACATTAAAAAAAATTCAACTTTAATAAGAGTTAAAATTCTCACTTGTGGTGAATATTTAGTTATATAGTTGCTCATGTCAATGTGTACATGTATGTATATGTAAAAGTATATAAATATGATGATAAATATATGAATATACCGTTAATTAAGATTTAAAACATTTTTGGTTCAAAATAACACATGATAGTAAATTCTTAAATAAAATTAAGTAAAAAGAAAACAAACCTAGAAATTAATAAAAATATTTTCATAAGAATAAAATCAAATTGTACCCGTAAACAATAAAAATAATATATATTACAAAGTGACATTTTTACTTGGTATTTGAATTCTGTGTTTTTAATTGATTTTGTGATTTTTAATTCGTTTTTAAAGCTTTTTTTATTCTGATTTTTTCTACCAATTTGATTTTTTTCTAATTATTGGTCTGATATAAAAGCTTTATAAAAATTTTAATATTTGACTAAACTAAAGATCTGACTTTAATTACGTGTGGTGTTTTTCACCTCAGTTTGTTTTTACCTTATTTGTTGTTATTGTGTAACAAAACCTCAACCATGACCAACTTCGGCAAGTTACAAAAATTTCAATTTCTACAAATATATTCATCGCAACACTTTAGTTGATGCGAACCTTAATGATTTTGTAATTTTTTTTACAATAAAGATATAATTCATTAGTTTCGGGTAGAAATTTTAATTTATTAATACAATGGCTAAAAAGGTAGGAAAATGAATTAATTAAAAAATAGTGTATAAACACATTAAATAATGAATTTAAAAAATTAGTGTGTGAACGCAGTAATTGTCAAATGATCGTAAGGCCAACACGTGTCAATTATGGTATAAACGCATTTATTTTAATGCTTCTCTTTTAATATATAAGAGACATGCAATTAATTAAATTTTGATATTACATTCTTATACAAGAACTAAATGATTAATTTTAGGACATATGAAAATTAAATGGGTCTAAACATTATAAGTTGGAGATTCAAACGAAATTGGTCAAAAAATTGATTTAAATAAGATTCGTTTATTTATTTTACATGATATATCTTTATTTAATTTTAAATGTAAACTAGCCTACGATTCAAATATCAGATAGGTTGAATATTTTAATAAAAATATTCAGGTAATTAATTGATTTGTCTAATTTGGTTTAAAAATAGTATTTTAGGTTATTTAGTATTTAGATATTATATATAATTAATATTTGTAGGTATATAATTTATATAAAAAATTTAAGTACCCATTTGGTTCTCGATTCGATTTCTATTTTTATATTCTAGAGATATATGATATGATCGATTATTTATAAAATTTGGTTTAATTTAACTCCATTTAAATTTTTTTAAAAAAAATTTAAAAAAATTAAGTACCTATTTGTGCATAATCGAAAAATAGAAACCACACTTATCAATGGGTTAATAACAATCTTTTGATCTTAAGATGTTTGTACCAGATTCTTTTTATTAATTCTTACAAGACTGAAATAAAATAATAGAACAAATTTTAAAAATTATAGATATCAAATAATAGACATAAATTCATTATATATTTGAACGGTCAATAAAAATATAAGAAGCGCGGATCAAAATCTAAATTACTTCAGCTACAAGTTAGTTTATTACAGCCAACTATTTAATTTACCTTAATTATATCAACCAAAAAAATCTAAACTGCACCTACTTATATTTTCTACCATGATTTTGGGAAACCTAAATTGATTACAAAATATTCTTTCATATCTTCTCTTAACCTAAATTGACAAGAACCCTCTCTTTTTATAAATACAAGCTATCTGAGACTCCCTTTACCATCAACTCAATCAAATTCAAAAACACCATCAAATTCTATCAAAGCATCTATTCCAAAATATTTTGCTTTACGGTCAACAAAAAAATACATGCGCTTCTTAAGCGCGGGTCAAAATCTAGTGAGTGATTATATTTGGATTGGCCTTCCGACTTTGATACTGAATTTATGGATATGGGGATGTTATGCATAGAAACTAATTAGGATGTCATTTATATTCTACGATGAACTGAATTAAATGACAATGGTCAGAACAGTTTAAATTACGGTTTACAGGTTTAGTTGTGGTCCCTGGTTCACGTATATATGAAGGTATATAAGGTAATGCCACGACCGCCCATGGCTAATGGACTTCTCACGTCCATTCATTCGGTCAGTGGGTCATATCCCGTCTGATGGCTAGTACGTTAATTTTTAAAAAGTAGTCTTGTTTACTGACCTTGTAATCGACACATGACATTTCTCTGTGATTTCGTCTCACTCGTATGATATCACGAATCAGTTCCAATGGATTACCCATCCTTTGACTACTCCAGCTCAAACACACTTAATTCTGGAATTCTCTCTAGATATGCTTTTTAAAAGGTAAGCGCACTTTGCTGGCATAAATAACCAAATCAATCTCTTACACTTTTTAATATACCACAAACCGGGATGTTACAATTAACCCCCTCAAAGAACGCAATGTCTACGTTGCACCCCAAGACTGTTATCCATGTTAGTGTGAATCCTCACTTACTCCACACTCGTCTAGGTTTGGCTCTGATACCATTTGTAACGCAGGATTACCCATGACTAATGGGCCTCCTACACCTGTTTACTCAGTCTGTGGGCTCCATCCCATTTAATGGTTGGTGCGTTAATTTTTCCAAGGCTCGAGAGTCTTGTTTACTGATTCTGCAACCACCATGCTACATTTCTCTGTGTTTTGGTCTCATTCGCACGATATCGCAAATCACTTCCCGATAGGTCACATATCTTTTCACTACTCTAGCTCAAGCAGACAAGCACATTTAACTCTGGAATTCTCTCTGGATGTATTCCCAAAATAGTAAGTACACTTTGGTGACATAGATAGCTAAATCAATTCTCTTAAACCTTTTCATATACCACAAATCGAAATGTTACATATATATTTGGTTTCATATATACCATAAAGTGGGGATGCATATAAGGTAGAGAGATTAGATCATAAGGTTCTAAAGTAGGCTTTTGTCCTTTTGCTAGACAAAACATAACAATTCACTCTCATTCTCATAAGGCATATTTCTCTCTATTTTCTACTCAACCTCCCTTCTCTTAATTTCAAGGGACATAATGGATTTTCAGGAGGATACCACCTCCATGTAAGATCCGATAAGTGGGTTCAGAGTCTACTATTATGTGCTTATGGTTGAATGTCTTCATGATTTGATATTTCAGTTAATTTATCAAATTTATGAATTCAAAGTTTGAGATTTTATTAATTATGCATAAGAATTATGAATAAAGTAAATGTTTAAGAAATTTCCTATTTATTTTCACAAAAAGAATTTTCAAGATTGAAAATTACTAAAAGAAGTTTTATTGAAGGAAAATATACTCTTATACCTCTAAGGTTAACTAGTCCTAGATTTTTTTTTAGAGTTAAGGAGTAAGATTTTGCGGATAGAGTTTAAAATATTCAAAAATAATAAATAAACTTGAAAATTTTGAAAATAAAAAAATTTGAAAAATAGTTACAAAAAGCATTTTCGAATTTAAAAAAAAAAGAAAATAAAGTTTATTAAGAATGATTTTCGGATTTAAAATCCCAAGAAAGCTTGTTTTCATGTTAAAAATGATGTTTTATATAAAGGTTGAAGATAATGACATTTTGTTAATTATTTAAAATAAATTTAAGAAATAATTAATTATTTGTGAGTGTTTGGTCTTTTGGTGCAGACATATTTTGTGCATATGTCATAAAATTGGACAAATGTTATCCAAAAGTCATTTTGTGTAGACAGTTGTAGGGGGGGGGGTGTCATTTGGTTGGGATACTTATCTAAGTAAAAGCATGCAAATAATTATATATTTAGTTTAGGCATTTCTTATGTTTTTTGGGTTTAGTTTTTAAATAAGTCATTATCTTATTAAAGTTGGCTTTAGGTTTTAATTAAGGAAGTTTTACAAAACCAATCTACAATTTCTAGTCAAATGCAACTCTTTTTGTCATTATTATTCATCCATGAAAGTTCCAAACCATCCTTACGTTTTCGGAATATGTATAGAATTGCCATTATTATTTATTTTTAAATTATTTTGAAAATGACAAAAAAACCAATTACACCCTAAACTTTTTTCTTATTTATAACAATGTCATTGTCATCAATTTTTAACCACCATGAACCACCATTTTGAGATCTTTAAACCTCTCAAATTCAATTTTCAACTATTTTTTTTTCATTCTAAATCAACAAATCTTCACTTCCTCTCATTTCCTCTCTATTTTCATCTAAATTTTTTTCATAACTTTCATTTTCATAAGCATAATTTCATTATTTTGAGTGTACTATGTTGTGTGTGATTCTTCCGTATCAAATCCTGAATATTAAAAGGAAACCTGATATTTGAAAACGTCACTCGTTTTTTTTTAAAACCTGACATTAGCTTGTGTATGAAGAATGTGAACCTTGTATTTTCTTAATTTCTTTAGTTTATGTTGGTTAAATCTTCACTGTTTATATATTTAAACCTCTCTTGTTTTTTGGTTAACAGTTTTTGAATAAATCATTAGAAAACCATAAAGTATTCTTCTTGGGTTTTTCAGTGGCCTTTATACTCTCTGGATTGCCTCACAATGTTGGAGACAAAAGAAAAGGACTCAACTGAGCTAAGATGGGTATGAAATCATCACACAATAATCATGAAAGATTTGAAATTATTGGTCTATTATTATTCACCATATATTCTATAATTGGGTCGGTCCAATATTTAATACAGTTGACGCCAAAAAGACAAAAAAAAAAAAAACTAAAACGGTATATGCATTGCTTGTAGCTTCATTATCATGACAAGTAAATACAAACAAAAAAACGTATAGTATTTGTTTGAGATTCATGTATTTTCGATTAGTATCATTAGTTATTCTTTCTCTATCCTCTTTAGGTAAAGCATTGACCACATGAAGGTCATGTCTTATCTCATCTGGTTATGTATATATCTGTTCATAAAACTCAATCGGTTTGACAATATATCGGCTTACAAATATCAAATTATATTCAAAGCTAATCAAAACTTCTACAATACTATCAAACCATCAAATTTTGCTATAAGTAGCCTATAGGCTATAACCATAGTATAGTAGCTGGCATAATAAAAGTTCTAGGTACACGACGAAGAAAGCAAATGGTCCCCGGTTCGGTACTCAATAACCGGTACGTACGGCAATCACAGACTTACCGTTCACCCAACCTGTAACCGAACAAAATAAGAAGTCGCATCACTTATCTTCCCTCGTCATTCTCACAACTTTAATTCCCCAAAAAAGAAACAAAGATAATTATAGCCGTCTCTGTAGTAGACTAGTCGCTCTTCAGTGCTTCAATGGTGGTTGATAAGTTCGTCTTCCTCAAGTTACAGACGTGAACGACTCTCGAGAAGAAACAACGCGCGTGACTTGAAAATAAATTAAAAAAACTCGTAAAGTTCAGCTCTTGAGGTATCAATTTCTTTATTTTTACAGTTGTATGATTCCTAGAAATTCTAGGGTTTCGATTTCGAAGAGTTTAAATTAAAGCTTTTTCGAATGTACAAAGACAAAACATGACTTTCATTTCGTTATTACCGAAGCTCTTACACTCTTCTCTCTCTCTCTCTCTCTCTCTCTGTGTCTCCCACTCTTCTTTCCCTTTTACTTTTTGATCCCCAGTCTTCTATAAATCTTCTTTTTGTACCCTTTATTTTAAATTAAAGTTGCTCACCCAAAGTTTCTCCATTTATAGTCTCATCTTCATCTTCACAAAGAAACAGCAAAAAAAAATGGAAGCTTGGATGGTTTCTCTATGTTTCTTCTCTCTATCTCTAATCATCTACGGAGCAAACGCAGAACCAGTACAAGACAAACACGCATTACTCGAGTTTCTAACCATCACGCGCCCAACACGCTCACTAAACTGGAACGAGACCACTCCCCTCTGCAAAAACTGGACAGGAGTCACTTGCAACCACAACGAATCTCGAATCATAGCCGTTAGATTACCAGCAATTGGACTCAACGGTCAGATTCCACCCAACACCCTAACCAGACTCACTGCCCTCAGAATCCTCAGTCTCAGATCCAACAGAATCTCAGGCCCATTCCCTATGGGCTTCACCGAGCTCAAAGACTTGGCCTTTCTTTACCTTGAAGATAACGACTTCTCTGGTCCTTTGCCTATTGATTTCTCTGTGTGGAAGAAACTCGTTGGCCTGAATCTCTCTAACAACAGATTCAATGGAACAGTTCCTGTTTCTTTGTCTGGTCTGAAACGGTTACAGTCGTTGGATCTCGCTAATAATTCACTTTCTGGTGTTGTCCCTGATGAGCTTAGTGTGTTGTCTAGTTTGAAACAGATTGATTTGTCTAATAACAATCTACATGGACCGTTACCGAAGTGGTTACTAAGGTTCCCACCGTCTTCTTACAAAGGCATTGGTCTTATCCCTCCTGGTGACGTCACTCATTTTCATCCACCACCTCCCGACCAGACTCAAAAGAAGCCTAAACCCCACTTCTTGGGACTAACCAAGACGGTTTTCTTGCTCATCATCGTTATCACTGTCTTCATTACACTTCTAGCAGCTTTATTGTTTGTGTTTGCTCTTTGTTACTTGAGGAGCAAGCTAGGTATTGTTAAGGACAATAAGCTTGAGAAGAAAGGCATGATGATGTCTCCGGAGAAGTTTGAATTGAGGATGGAAGAAGCCAACAACAGGTTGACTTTCTTTGAAGGATGCAATTACTCGTTTGATCTTGAGGATCTGCTGAGAGCTTCTGCTGAGATTCTTGGTAAAGGCACGTTTGGGACGACGTACAAAGCGGTTCTAGAGGACGCAACTTCCGTCGCTGTGAAACGTCTCAAGGACGTTGCGGCTGGGAAACGCGATTTCGAGCAGCAGATGGAGATCATTGGAGGGATTAAACACGAGAACGTTGTGGAGCTTAAGGCTTATTATTACTCCAAAGACGAGAAGCTTATGGTTTATGATTATTTTAGTAATGGAAGTGTGGCTTCTTTACTTCATGGTAAGGCCTCATATCTATAGACTCATTTCCGGTTTAATTTTTTGTAACCGGTTTAGGTGTTGGATTGTGCAGGTAACCGAGGAGAGAACCGGGTTCCGTTGGATTGGGAAACGAGAATGAAGATTGCTATTGGTGCAGCTAAAGGGATCGCTAGAATCCACAGAGAGAATAATGGGAAGCTTGTCCATGGCAACGTTAAATCTTCAAATATATTCTTGAATTCAGACCGTAACGGCTGCGTGTCTGATTTTGGTTTAACCGCGGTGATGAGCGCCTTGGCTCCACCTATCTCTAGGCAAGCTGGTTACCGTGCCCCGGAAGTAACCGATACAAGGAAGTCTTCTCAGTTGTCAGATGTTTACAGCTTCGGCGTCGTATTGCTCGAACTACTCACCGGAAAATCTCCCATTCATACTACTGCAGGTAAAGGTTACAAATAAGGAAAAAAACATAATATACATCTTTGGTTTAATGATTTTTACAAATGAAAAAGAAAACCATAATGTATATCTTTGGTTTAATGATTTTCTTTTTTTTTGTGTGCAGGAGATGAGATTATACATTTGGTTCGATGGGTACATTCGGTGGTGAGAGAGGAATGGACTGCGGAGGTTTTTGATGTGGAGCTACTAAGGTATACAAACATAGAGGAAGAGATGGTTGAGATGTTGCAGATTGCTATGTCTTGTGTTGTCAAAGCACCTGACCAGAGACCGAAGATGTCTGATTTGGTTAGGCTTGTGGAGAGTGTCGGGAACCGACAAGGCAGTCTTGAGACTAAACCAGAGAAGGAAGCCTCCGAGATTTCCACGCCTAGTAAAACTTGATGACTCTAGGAGAACTTGAAAACTGTTGATTTAATATACGAAGTTTGTATACTCCCCTTCTGTTAATCCTCACTTCTTCTGTTTGTATCAAATCATATTTCTGGTTAGGAATTCTTGGTTTTGTAAAATTCAGAATGAAATAGATTTCAATTGAGGAAAAAGAAGAAAAAGAAACATCTCAAGTTTAATAGATAAGAAACCCATCTCATATTCATAGTGGTAAATACTAAATAAGCATAGGCATGGATCGGATATCCGGATTTTTAAAAGTATTTTGATTTGCTTCGTATATTACGAATATCTAATTTTTCGCTTTGCTTTTCTTCGAAAAAATACGGATATCTGGAAAAATAGATATCCGGAAAATAAATAAATATATGGTGATATTTACGAATACTTACAAATATGTCATATGTTTCGATTAATACAAATAATTTTAAAAATTCGCTACAAATTTGTTTTGTAAAATATTTTTTTGTATGATATATAAAATAAAATTTAAAAAGTGAATCTACATATTTGGTAATTTTTTAAGTTTAGTTGACAATTATAATAGCACAAAACTTAAGAAAGTTTTTATAGTTGTCATAAAATTTTCACTTCTTTTTATGTTATACTTTTATATAAATAATAATGTGAATAAATTTTGTCAAATTATATGTCAGAATAATAATTATATAATTTAATATTTAAAGCTTTAAATATAACCAAGATATACATGTATTTATATATTATCATTAAAGTGGATATCCACTTTTCAAAATTTTAATATTTGTGATTTGCTTCGATTTTAACGGATATTGATTTTTAGTATTTGTTTTACTTCAAAAATATACGGATATCCAGAATTATCGGATCGAATCAAAAGGTATAATCGATCGAACAAATTTAACAGATAAAATCTCCAACCCTAGTGATAAACAATCCTCTAAAATAGTAGGGAGTCCTAATGGGCTCTCGATATAAAGCTCAATGAAGGTGCACAATTTTGGGCTGCGAGTGAAGATTGTTATTGTGAGTGAAGATTGTTAGGGTCAAACTTTTCAGTTTATAATACGGTCATTTGAATTGGTTTGGAGTTTCACGAATTATTTGCATCTCTCGTATAATACTACTTGCTGAGATAACATTTTCTAAGTCACACAAACAATTGAGACATCGATTTGTCGTGATTGTGTGTTTGGAGGAGGAACAGATAGGTGGCATAGATTACAATAGGAAGGAGACGAATAAGGCAAGTTAGAACGTGAATATGCTTTGTCTAGTTCTTAGAAAACGATGTGTCTTTTGCTCATATACTGCAATAGGGCTTCTTCTTCTCCTTTTCAAGTTGCAAAATTAGAAACCTAAAAGGCAAAAAAATGATACATAAATATGTCAATTTTATATAAATCCTCACGTCCCCACGAGATCGTTTGCATCAACATGTTTTTTGTTTACTCCTCCGCTGGTATCAATGTCGGCCTGTTTTGGACAATTGTTAGGAGTTATTTAGACCATTCAGTATAATCTCACTGAAGTAATCTAACATGTAAGAAATTGTTTAAACGAACACAAGTTTATATTACTTAAAAATTAAGAGACGATTCTTATATTACACTAAGAACCCTACCTTAAGAATCTCTAATAAACATGGCTTAACTTGTGCTTTACAAATGCAACACAATATACATTCATATGGGGGATCCGACTGTTAACAGGTTAATGACATGTGAAAACTACTTTAGAATGTAAGTTTAGAATATATAAACTGATTTTTTACTCATGTGTTTTATGATGTTTTAATCTTTTTTGGGCACTTGTGATGTTTTCTAATCTACCATCTACTTATTTGTGAACCTTGTGAATATATTGCTACTTACTTAATTTTTAAACATCCATTTATTTGAAAAAAATATCATGAGAATGGACATAATCGCATAAACAGTCGACATCCACTCGCTCCATTTGTTCCTCTTTGCCTTTTCTCAAGTCAAGAGTCAAAATCTCTTTTACGTGTTCTGTGGTCGACAAAAAGTTTCACAAACGGAGTTATATAGATAACAAATTTCATTTGCTTATATCTAGTTATTAAAAAAAGAAAAGTTAATAGTAAAAGGTTGATTTCATTCCTGTTATAATGCAACGATTATAGACCAATGGTTACATATTTCCTGGTAAAAGCCTTTTTGCCTATCATCCCCTATGCTATGAGTTTTCTGATTCCAAAAAGTTTTTGATTTGTCCTTTATTGTAGCCACAACAAAAATTTAAATGTAGCTAGTCCCATAAAATACGGAGTCAAACTAATGAACCTATATACATTGTAGCTAATACGGAGGAAATTTTAAATGCAGCTAGTCACTCTTGACCATCTCCAATAAGGAGCTCTTACGACGGGGTTCTTAACGAAATATAAGAATCTGTCTCTTAACTTTTAACTAAAAAAGTTAACTTTTAACTAAAAAAGTTAAGAATTATTTTTTAAATGTCTTAATTAATTAAAAGAAAAAACAAATTTGCTAATACGTTATTATTCCATGGAAAATGTAGTTTGTCTAAATTTTCGAAAAGTAAAACATTTGCCATAGAAAAATCATTTATGTGTTGGGCACTCCTAAAAGTTTACGATTATTAATATAAACCATTGTGACCCATGTCTAAGAATTTTAGTCATAGCAACGAACTGGTTCTCAGAGATTTTTAGTACAACTGTACAAGAAAACCTTGACTATGATTAACAATTACGCGACAAGTTCGGTTTGTAAACGTTGTTTAATTTAATAATTTTAGTTAGTAGTTAGATTAGTTAAGCTCATTGTATTTACTGAAGTTGCGAATCCAACAGGATCGTATTTAACAAATAAAAGAAAGCATTCTATGTACATATGTAATGGCCGGCAATAAGGATCGTGAGGAAGTATTGGAAAGGATTTAAGGGTTTAGTTAGATTTTATTAGTAACATATTAACTAAACTAGGTAATCTTAATTTATTGAGATTTGTCTTCACTACATGACAAAGTGTGAGAATCACTTTCTAGCTCACCGCCCACCGCACCTCCACTTCACTTAAAATATTTGCAGTTGAAATAGTTGATCTCTCGTTATATTCAGCTTCGATATATGTTTTGATGGGGTTCGAGTAGGAACGAAATGTGTTACCATCCAAGAACGGGAGTACGCAGAGGGCTGACATGATTGTCACCAATGTCACGATCGCTTACGGGAACTCATTTGGACGAAATATATATGGCCCGACATGATTGGTTATTTCTTGAGAAGGAAAACTATCTATAACAATATACTAACTACTTTATAAAAAAAGGATAAAGCAAAGTTAAAATGTTGTTTCTATTACAACGCAATAGCTAGCTACTATAAAATTTATATAGATACTTCTTTTTGAAAACTATGTAGTGATGTCATCATATCAGAATTAATTAACTATCAGGTGTCGTTTAACTACTTAGACCATCTCTAATGGCATCTCTATTTTTTCCTCTGTAATTTACTCTAAAATAGAATAAATTTATTATTTAATAACTTTTCGTTTAATAGTATTATTTAATAATAAAGTTGATTAGAATACCAAATATATTCTTAGCTACTAGCTAGTTACGCAATCTTGAAGAATGAACTAAATTTTAAACCCAAAAATACATTATATCATATAAGTATTCATTGGACAAAGAATAATTAAGACGAAAAATTAGCATCGTGAATATTTTGTATCATATATGCATCAACACTATCAGAATTTTGAATTTATGATTTCAATTCTTTGTTTATTCGAATTAAAGTTTTGAATAATGAGAAAATAATGTGGTAATAAGAACAAAGTTCTTAAGTGTAACATTTTTGCGTTGTCACACATAAGTGCTTTAATAAATTTTGAAGGTCTAATAACCTACTAAGTTAATTGAAATGATTCCATAACCATTAAAACATTATATCACTTGTATTTAATCTCGTGAAAGCTCATATTGATTAGTCCTTCATTAGAGGCTAGTATTGAGTCAGTGCAAAGAGATCCTATTTATGATAGTAATATCATGTGTGGTCTAGCACTGAATATTGGGTTTATCCAAGATTTTTAGGTTTAGTTTTGATTTTAGAAATGAAAAAATACCAATCTAATTAAATAACATGTCATTTGATCGCTTCTTTTAAAATCAACTGCACACACTATAATATTGTTGATATTCCACTTCAATTATCGGAAGTCGTATATTACAGAAACTATATCAACTTAAACCATTCTTTATCAATGTATTTTTTCCATAACCTAACTCACTGAACAACAAGAAAATATGACCGTCTCTTTTTATGTACTATTTTCTTCAAGAATTCCAAATAAGTTGTTCTTGACCAGCGTTGTTGACGCATTTTCCCGAATTATTGGATCATTTTTGAAACTTTTCTTTGGGAAAACAATTACATCAATAATGTATATTTTCTTCTGGCAACAGTTTTGTTCATCTTTAAAAGTTAAAAAGCTAAATTAAGTCTTGGTATATTGAATTAGAGAAAAACTCATAGTTAACACAGCTCACAAACCACCCGGCTAATAATGTTACACTGCCTTGATCACCTAAACTTTCTTTTTCCAAAGAACTAAATGTTATTTTTTTCAGTGTTCCTATTTTTGTCCTCTGACAAAGTCTATGGGTTCTGATATTATGGTCTTTTAAAAACAAGGGAAAATTCTTTAAAATTACACCAACTGAATTTCTTTTGCTAAAAAAATACACCAACTTTTTAGATTTCCCGAAAAATACACAGAATAATTTTGGTTGTCCACAAAATACATGAATTTTTGAATTTTGAAGGTTTCACACCTCGATTTTAACGGCGTTAACTCTGATTAACAGAACATTTAGACGCCGTTAGACGACGTTAACTCTAATTCAAAAGTTCATGTATTTTGTGGACAACCAAAATTAGTCTGTGTATTTTTCGTAAAACTAAAAAAGTTCGTGTATTTTTTCAGCAAAGAAAATTTAGTATGTGTATTTTTAAG